GGCTGGAGCCGCAGCTGCGTTAGCTGGCAGTGTATGTCGTCCGTTCACCCGGTAGAAAAAGAAGGCGCTTCGTTACGTTTGACCCTGTTCTGAGAAATGAGAGTTTGGAGTTCACGGTGAAAAGTACTGGGCAGGTCTGGGCAGGAGGCAGCGAGGCTGCCCGCAGAAGAACGAGCGTCCATTACGTGTGTTTTCTTGAGACCGTGTGTGTTCAGACCTCAGCATCAAATCCTGATTCCTGTTTGCTCTGTATGGCACAGCTGGTTACACACTGAGAGCCCATCCATGGACTTGGAAGCGAAAGATGAGGAGGAAGAGAGTCTGCAAACAGCTTTCAAAAAGCTGAGAGTGGATGCAGCAGGGTAAGTGAGCAACCAAAAGGACCGTGTAATTTGTTGGTTTCTTATTATGTATTTGTTTTCTACTGACTGTCAAAACAAATGTCATTTGTTGAAAGGTTCCTTACTCTCAAAAGGAGACAACTGCATTGCTGCAGATGAAATGCGGTCATTATAACTGTCCAATAGGCAAAGCAGTACTTTATTACTGACTAATTTGGACACAATATCCAACTGAAATTACATAGTGACTGTATGAAACCATGAAGTGACTCGCCCAAAGCAGTGAACCCACTCTTCCCTGCTGTGGCAGCAGAAGTCACCTTGTGCGATACAGAACTGTTTTGTCCATGCGTGTAAACGCTGGTGTCTTCAGCCCCGGTGTCAGCCTTTACTGAGGCACGGGAAGGTTTGCTTGGGAAGTGTCTGAAGGACAGCACCCCGGCTTCGTGCTGTGCCGGTGAGCCCAGTCTCACTGGAAATAGTCAGGCTAAATAGGAGCACTGATCATTTCTGATTTCAGGGGATTTTGTAGAGTAAAATATTTGCAGAGATTCTTACACTAAAAGCTTGCTCCATAACAAACTGGGTGCACTGATAATATGTAGTATAAGTGTCTTCTTTAAAAGTAGAAGTTCATAGAACTATGTAGTCTAACACTTTGTGAGGTAGTTCACTGGAAGTCTTTTGGGAATTCACAGACAAAAGAGAAAGCTTTGTATTGATAATTAATGTTACCTTGTAAATTCATTTCTGTAGCCATCAAAACTGCAAACTCATGACTTCCTCTGCATGTTCAAGTATATTTTGCTTTGCTACTTGTTTCTTCTGCTTCAGGGGGGCTTCTGTTAATGTGGAAAAAAGTAGGTGTTCTCCAACACGGCACTATGCTTATTAAGCATGCCACTTCTCATGGGTTACCAGTGACAGACTGTAGAGTTCTGGTTGATTCCTGGTGATACCTTGTTAGACATAAATAGATCTTGTTTTGCAGGCACATATTTTGAACAGCTCAAGTCTTGTGCCTAATACCTTAAGATCAACTTTGGGCACAGTACTTGGGCTCTTCTGCTAGAATTTCAGCCTCATTTCTAACGATTTCATATCCTGTGTTCCAGATCGCACATACAGCCATCATGAACACAGGTTTGCGTGCAGAGGCATTTATGTTTGTTGTCTGGACCTCCAGGGCCAGATTTTTTTCATTCCGTGTTTATCTGGGAAATTTAATGAGAATTTAATGAGAAATAAATTAGTATTCGGTCCCTGTCTGTTGTATGTCATCCACTTCTCCACTGACTCTTCCTCAGCCTGCTGCTGTGGGTTCCTGACTTTGCATTTTAGATGAGTAGGAGTCGTATCTTTAGCAACTATTGTCTGACCAGAACATTTGGAACCCGAGTTTACATTCCTGTAACGTGTCATTTTGGTACAAATAGGGCCTGACATCAGCCTCTGGGCATTTTGGCCTCCTTTCGTTTCATCTCCCCTATCTTTAGCCGCTTGGCTGAGGTCAGTGAAGTCAGGGCGGTTAGGTGGATCTCTGTAATGCCCGGTTCCTAACTGACTGGGAGGCAGTCAAGGCTGCAAACGTCCATGTCTGGGCTAAACATCTAAAGCGGCCGAGTGTAGAGCTCTGAAGCGGTGTGTTCAGCCCTGCTGCAACGTGGCCTTTCCCTTTCTACCCAGATGTGTTGCAGCTCTGTCTGTGGGGGACGGGACGGGTCTCAGGACGCCGACAAGAGCAGCCATGGATGGAGCCAAGCAGCAGACTGTCTGCTCGAAGGAGGCATGGCACGGGTAAAACACACCGTTCGCTGCACCCTGCTCCTGTTTCGGGTCTGAGACATTTAACACTCGCGTACTGTTTCCAGTGAAAGTTGTTGATTAGTTGCTTCAACATATCTTTTCTCTCCTTTCTGTTACAAAACTTTACTGTAACTGTTTGATATGATGTTTTTAAGGGGGTTTCATCAGAGGCTTTAAAAACAATGTTACCTCTTAGAGAGGGTACCTAAAACTTTCTTTTCCACTGATTTCCTCAAAAGTCCTTTTTTTGAATTCTTACACCCTTGCAACCCCCTCTCACCCCTTTCTTGGGTTATTTTATTTCTGTATTGAAGTACCTGGATATTCAGTGCGATTCTGCCAGGAGCTCCAACTGATATTCTGGTTCTGCACTACGGTTCCGTTTAGGATGGCAAAGTATCATTTGCTTAACACAGGAGATTTTTGGGGAAGAACCCTTAAAATAGGTCTGTTTGTATGTCTCTTTCCTTCGGGGGAGTCCCAATTTCTTCAGACTCCTCCACTGTTCCTGTCAGAGATTGTAAGTGACCAGTCACCTGATTTTTCTAAGCAGATAAAAAAAATATTCCAAACCGTTTTTTCAGCCGCGTTTTAGAGCTTATCGAGCCATGGTGTAGATTCTGGAGTTACCTACTTGCTCACCTGTTACACCCCTGCAGGTGTGTGAGGAAGCCTTCCAGAGGGTCAGCGAGAGCCCCACGCCGCCGCCGCTCCAAGTCTCCCGTCCTGCACCCTCCCAAGTTCACGTACTGCGGCGCGAAAGCCAGCAGCCAGCTGAAGCACAAAGCCCAGGCAGACACGGCGAAGAGCAGCGTCAGCTCAGACGTTTTTGTCGCGGCAGAACCCGGTACGAAGGACAGGCACGATTGTCCCCTTGAGGCCCGTGATGACAGAACTGAACCTTTGGAGGCTCTCGCCGCTGAAGAGCCTTTGGAGAAGCCCCGCGAGGATTGCCCTGCTCTCTCCTCGTCCTTTGAAACTCGCTTGCGTTCTGGCCACACCTCAGACTTCCAGTCCTTGTCCATGCTTAGCCACGGCAAGCAGTGCCCCTGCAGGGACCAGAGGTGCCGGTGCCGGCAGTGGCGCGCCATGGAGGTGTACTCCTTCTCGGGGCTGCGGAGCGTCCTCTCCGAGTGCGAAAAGGCCGTGCTGGGAGCCCGCGCCCAGTCCCTGCAGAGCAGAGCCCCGGGTGGGACAGCCTCAGCCAGTTCTCCTCGCTCTTGCTCTGAGCAAGCCAGGGCCTTTGTGGATGACGTGACTATTGAAGATCTTTCGGGATACATGGAATATTACTTGTATATTCCAAAGAAAATGTCTCACATGGCAGAAATGATGTATACTTGACTGAAAGCAATAGAGAATCCCGAGTCAGTTTGTGACAATGGTTGGGTTAAATGCCTTGTCAGTGCCATGTTTTCACTGTTGTGTGTTTGATTAAATGTTTCTTTGCCTCATACAGTTTAGTTTTCTAATAAAATGAAAAATGGAATATAGTTTCTGAGGTTAGTTCTAAAAAGAATGCACTAAATTCTGAATACCTTAACAAAAGCACTGTAGATCAGCTGAACTCCCTTTGGGTTTGTGCTGTGGATATTCAAGCTCTATATACCTTTTCGTTATGTTTTGGGGGACAAAAAGAAAAAAAAAAAAAAAGCCTTTTTAGGTTTTTTGCCTGAAATTTTGCAGTGTTTGGAAGGTTTGTTCTTAACGTATCCCAGTACTTAGAGAAGTGTTTCATAGCTACAGCTCTATCTGCCTCATCCTGCTCAGAGAGAAGAATGAGAAGGTGTCAGTATTTTGGACAGGATGGATCTCCTTTCCCTGAACACTGTCTGGCTCCTTTTTAGTTGGATCAGATTGTGAATTTGTTGGGAGGTCCAGAGCGTGCGGGTGTGTGCTTGGAGCCTTTCATAACCTAACTAGCCCACTCTTAAGTGGTTCTATTTTTCTGCAGATAAGCGAAACTCCTAGAAGCAAAAATATATTTTGTTATTTGTGCTTTACAGATGGGATAATTTAGGGGGCAGTGAAGCAGGCTAACAGTTTTTTTGGGCCATGCTGGCTCAGAAGTGGAGATGGTGGAGCCATCTATACAGATTGTTTCTGAGTATGTTTGATACACAAAGCAGCGTGGAAATAGGGTAAACAAGAAGTGTGTGTCATACAGGCTTTGTGGTGTAGAGCTATAACATTCCTTCTGGTTGAAAATACTGAAATAAAAAGAATTTGTTGCTGAGACTTGCATTAATAAATGTTTGTCAAAACCCAGCAAATTAAAGACTGGATAATTTGCCTTGCACTCATCTCCCCTCACAACCTCTTTTTTTTTTTTCCTAAAAAAAACCCCAACCCTGCAAGTGTCTTTCAGTGTCAGCTGTACTCATATGCTAAACAACCGGGCTTGAGTAAAATACTGTGATTTTTTACTTACAGGCTTAAAAGTTAGTGGTCAGCAAGCCAAGGAGTCCCAAGCAGTTGTTTAAAAATAGATTATAGCAGATGTAGACAGTTGACCTTGTATTCTGTGCTAGAGAAGTTTCAGGCATTCTAGACAATAATTGCTGTCTGTAGATGTTATTCTGCTCATCCCTAAAATTTGCACTATGAATCTGGGAAGTTCAGATTTAAGTTCACGTAAGTTAACGTAAGAATACAGCTGAAGCTGTTGTATTGCTCCTCAGTGCCACGCAGTTACTGAGTGTGTGATACTGGCTCGTACTCTCCAATTAAACCAGTTTCTAAATTTTCTCAGGTTAGTACTTTACGGTCCCCTTCCTTTACCTTCCTCCTCCCACACTATCCTGCGTACCCACACGTAGGGTTTTGGTTTTCTTCACTTTCGCACTGGCATAACATGTACTTTGATTTTCCATGTAAACATTTAGTACTGGTTATCTTTGCTGCTGCTGTGTTTCAGAGGCTGGTTCTGCTTCGGCACAGGGTGTCTGCTCACCTTTCTGTTCATGTTTTGGTTTTGCGCCCCCTTTAAAGTCTCTTGAAGGTGATGTTGCTGGTTGCAGTAGTTCTCCCTTTTCAACTGATGATTACCCTGCCTGTCGGTGAGGCTTGACCTGGAGTCCCTGCGTACGGAGCAGGGGCACAGATCCTTGCCGTGCACAGGCGCAGTTGTGTTAAACTGGTACTGGTTGTGTTAAACTGGTACTGGTTGTGTTAAACTGGTACTGGTTGTGTTAAACTGGTACTGGTTGTGGCCCCTGCCCTCTGCAGCTGGAGCCCCACGGAGGGGCACAGCGAGGCTCTTCCCCAGGCATGCGGCGCGGCAGCCTGGCTCTGTCACCTCACTGCAGCTGTTCCTGCTGCGGAGCACAGTCCCGCTTCTCTCCGCTAAAGCGTGCACAGACCCCTGGCAGGGGCTGGACCTTCAAGCGGGTGTTACATGAAACTGGTCGTGAGCGACGATGCTGGAAGGGCACAAGGGCGTTTTCAGCTGTGAGCAGGACAACGCGCAGCAGACCTGCTGTGGCCAGGGACAGGCGGAATCGGGGAAATGGTGGAGGTTAAACTGGTCCAAGATAAACACTGAAGTTTAGGGCTGAGGAGTGAATTCAGATTGCCAGAAGGCTGGAGAGGAGGGAAGAGCCCAAGAGCAGGTTCTCCAGGCACGTTTCTGAAGTGTTCTATGGAGGACAGAAGTAACTAATGGGGGGAGAACGAAACAATAACTCAGTGGTTTTGTATTCTGCCTGAATTACTGTTTGTGCTAGTGTTTAAGCACATCTAGTGCTGCCCGAGGCAGAGGAAGGGCAGATATTTTGGGTTTTCGACTGCAACTATCAATCAGGCTTGTAGCAAACCTACTGAAACATTCCTTCTGACGTTCACATTGCTCAAATCATCTCCTTTGGGTGAAATGACAAGCTAAGAGAGGCCCCAAGCTTACTGTCTCCTTCAAAGCCTTCCCAGTTCAGCTCACCCTCCACTCCTGCTTGCTGCCTGCCTGAAACCTCAAGTGTTACTAGCAAACGGCATCTTCCCTAGGAACGCCTGTGCAGCACGATCAGCTTGACTGATGAGCATCAGCGCTCAGCCTCAGAGGTGGCCTGCTACAAGGGGTGCTGAGCGCAGCCCTGCCAGCCTTGCTGCTCCCAGCCTGCTGCTGTACCTGCCCCAACAAGCCTGGTGAATTTTTTCTGCCCACAGTTGCCCTAGGATGTCTCCCCACTCAATCTAAAGAAGAACATGTCTAAAATATTCTGAGAAAGCACTGGTGGGCTTGCAGCACTCCCAGGCATTTCCTCAGAGCAGATCCTCCCTCTCTACTCCTATCTCAGCAGATCCAGGCTGGTTTATTTTTTTTTTGGTGGCTTCCCCCCACCCCTAGCACTTTACAAGTTACTTGCCTATCTGGTTTCAGCACTAGCTCATCCAAAGCGGGATGCAGTAAGGCACCCTGGATCAATGAAATTCATTTCTCCCCTTACAGAAGCCAAACCGAGTCCTAGCTAAGCTTTACACAGGCAGACGCTGAATCAGGCCACTGATGGGGGGGAAAAAAATAAAAAAAAATATAAAAAAAAATTAATGGAGCTGACTACAGCCCAATTTCCACCCTCTCCTAAAACAGGGAAGGTGTTTCTGTGCCTGCAGTCCCATGACTGCCTGTGGCCACCTGCTCTCTCCTCTTTGTAACGTTTGCATCAGCTCCGAGACGAGACACCCTGGATTGTCTATTTCTGAACTGCCAGCACCCATAATCCTGCCCAGATGGCACCTTCTGCCAGGGCTCTGCCAACACCACCGGGTCCGGCTGTAGCAGCATCCCATGGGGCAGCCCAGCATCGACCCCTTTTGCAGGCGGGGAGGCTGGAGAAAAGAGCTGGTGATGATCTCAAGGTCACACAAGGTCAGGGCACCCCTAAAGGGGGCTGGCACCCATCCTGCCCCTCAAGCCTTGCTCACTTTGGCAAGCCAAGCCCCAGGTAAATAAGTAAGTGCCTCCAGAGGCGCCGCATACCTGCAGGACCCAGAGGGGTGAAGCGACTTGTTTTTTTATTCCCAACGGCGCAGCATTAATTCATCACAAAATATGCCACTAGATGGGGCTTTCTGGACAGCAATCCACAAGAGAGAATCGCTTCTGCTTGGTCAAGCTGCTCCTTTCCTTTTCTAATCCCAAAGGTGTCCTTTTCCAGTGAAAGGAGCCCCAGAAGACACTTCTTGGGCAGCGTGGGCTCTCCTGCATGGAGCAGGCGGGAGGGGAGGCTGCAGAGCAGAGGGCAGGATGGTACTTCATGATGGGGCCAGCTCTCTAAAGCTCACTTTTCTCCGAGTTTGCAACATCAGGGGCCACCGCCCTGACTTTGCAGCCCCAAAGCAGAGGCCAAGCAAGACCCTTTCCCTGTGGGTGTCCCCAAGGCTAGTGCGGGGTCTCTGGCAGCACTTGGGAAGCCCTGGGCTGGGGAGGAAGGATGGTTTTGGGGGGCTGCTGCCTACAGGGGAGAAGGCAGGGAGGCGGCAGAGCAGGGTATAGCACTCCCCAGCCTCACCCTCCGCCCTCGCCCTCCTGCACACCTTCAGGAGCAGAACATCCCAACACCAAAGGATTAACTTTCACCTCTCAGTCCCCAGAAAATTGCTCCTTTCAGTGTGTTCATGCAGCCAGGTACCAGTTTGGCCCTGCTCCCTCCCAATGCTCTTGGGTGAAGCGTGCCTCAGTTTCCCCACTTGAACAAGCCATCCCAAACCTTCCCCTGTTTGCAACCTCACCAGTTTCAGCATGGGTGGAGATGGGAGCAACACATGGAGGAGCTGCATTAGCACCCAGAGCTCTCTCACAGCCCCAAGACATGAGCTGGCTCCCCGTGCCCTCGCCTCCATCCCCTCTAGAACCTGCCCCTACAACTCCCATAACCAGGCTGGTTTTACCCCCCGGAACCGACAGCTAGTCCCATGTGTGTGAAATTATTTCCAAGCTGCCAGATTGCTGTAGATGGAGCGTGATGAAGCCAAGCATCATAAAACACAGGCCCAGATGTCCATGTCGCTGTGCCTAGAAAGGCATCAGCTGCCTACACGCATTTGCCTGCAAACCTCTGGGTGATGCTCGTAGTGCCCGGAGAGCAGCAGCTCCTTCCGGAGCTCCGGCTGGTTTGCTGTTGTGACACACCCTGCTAATTCTGGAAGCGACCCCCCAACCGTGCCTGCTTTGGTGCAGGAGGGTTTGTCTGGTTTGGCCCAGCACCCTGACTAGGGCTCTAGTACACAGCAAGGGCTCTGGGGCTCTACCCCGGTCCAGGCTACGTAACACCCATTAGGCAGTAATTAATCTGTGCTCTCCAAAAATCACCGAATACCTTGAAAGAGCCATTGCTGCTTCTTTCTGT